ACCTCGTTCGTGCTGCGATAGACGACTGGCCGCGCAGATTGAAGGCCTGTATTCAAAATCACGGAGGTAATTTTGAATAAACTTTAGTGTCATAAGAATCTATGTTTTGTTAAGTTCATTTTGGTATATGAATGGTTACATAATGAATAAACTTGTTTCAATTATTTTACATTAAACATGTGACAGAATTTATGACCTGGCTAGGTATATAAATTATTTTTACGGTTTAATCTCCGTTTCCTACTGACTTTTCATCACTGAGTCGTCCGTGACTATGAAAACTGTAAAGCATTAGAAACGCGAGATCAAACCTTACAAGTATCGCTATTAACATATGAATAAGTACTATTATTTTTTACGTGTCCTTCATATTATGTCTTATTTTTCAGTGACCTCATTGATCATGCCTTTCCTGTTTTCTAGAAGATTAATGTGTCGATTGATGGCGATAAATACGGGACTTATAAATTTCTATCTTTTGATGTCAGTTTCGCATGAAGGTCTGTTCACGGTTGCACTCATTATAAACGTAATGAGCTGGGTTTTTATTGAATTTAGACTTCTTCACGTGAAGGACGTAAAGGTATTTGATTAGTTGTATGTTGTAGATTGGAAACTGTTTAGTACATTGTCATATGAACTTAATAAATTCAACTGCACAGATAATTGACTGCGCGTTTATTGAAGACACAAATGAAGAAAAAATTGGTCTTCAGATCGAAAGGGGTATTACTAGTCAAGACTTTAGAAGAGCTTTCTTTTTCGTATCCTTTACAAAATCGCGTCTAAAATATTATCATCAAATAATTCGACAAATGTCCTCCATGTCTAAATCCACTGTTTTCAAGACACAAGTTGCGACTCTTAGAAATTACGCTGAACAACAAGGTATTATTTGGTCATTTTTATTGCTTTCCTAGAAAACAAGCTAACGGTCCGCCTGACCTGGCATCCGCAAAACACGCTACAGTCAAATCGTTGTTAGTCGAGTTAATTAATATTGGATTGGAATAGTATCAACAATAGAACATTATAGGGTATCGATGCCAATCCTTGAATTGTGATCTATGTCTATATAATCTATGGCTCGGGAATTGTAGGTACCTATTCGAGAAAAATTGGAATATAACGCAGTAGCGCTGATGGTAGGACCTCTTGTGAGTCCGCGCGGGTGGGTACCACCGCCCTGTCTATTTCTGCCGTGAAGCAGTAATGCGTTTCGGCTTGAAGGGTGGGGCAGCCGTTGTAACTATACTGAGATCTTAGAACTTATATCTCAAGGTGGGTGGCGCATTTGTAGATGTCCATGGGCTCCAGTAACCACTTAACACCAGGTGGGCTGTGAGCTCGTCCACCCTTATAAGGAATAAAAAAAATTGCAATAGTAGATATTTTAGCAAATGATAATTTTTGGTTTTATGATTTTACGAACATTCTTGACAAATTATCAATGGCTTCTTTGAAAACCTCTAGGAAAATGTGTATACTCGTATATCAAGGTTTGAAAAAAAGATAGCCGTACAGTGATAGTTGAAATTTGATATTTTATTTTTGAAACAGCAAAATTTTATCGGTGGGTAGTTAATTATTTTGAGAATATTTTAAAGTATCTGTATCCTATTTATTTCCTTAATATGTAACTAGGTACTTTACATTATTTTAGCATTTTTCGGTACAGGAAATATAGCATCATTGAATTCATTCGAATTGAGATGGGTGACTTGTTTTATAACATCATTTCAACCATTTTTGATTACCACATTGATCTTGATGAAAACGTTGTCACCATTTTTAATCGTCGGCTGTGCTTTTAGATCCGTACAGTTTGTCACTAAGGTGAGTATTTCGTTGTTGACGAAGAATTCAGCTAACTGTATTAATTGGCGTAGGCAACATTTAATTTTAAGCTGCTTGAAATCCCAGGTGGATTTCACGGAAAGCTGTTTAGAAAAAAGTGCCTGCAGCACCCGCGTATATGAGATAAAAATGAAACCTTTTAAAACGAAATTAAACCCTGTTCGCAGGTCTTTAATGAATGTGAAGAAACTATTAAGCAATTTCTGTGATGCAATATGGACTCATATTTAGTCTAAAGGATCCTGTACCTATTTGTTCAGTTATTTACCTCTAGCTTCACTGGTACACTAATACATTCCTAGTATCAGTATCAGTAGTTTTCTTTCAAAAAGTCAAAAACATTCGTGTGTTTCTGTTGGAGGGGCCAACAGAAAGTTACGCAATACAGTTGTAATTAATCTGGCCTCACCTGCTAACCATTTTACACAAGATGGGCCGTAAGCTGATGTACCTATCAATTGGTTTACTAATACAACTAATAGAATCACTAATAACACACCAATATGTTCTGTTAAGGGCAAAAAGTAATTGGTCGAGCAGTTCTGTTCGGGAATGGAATATCATCTATTATATTTATAATTTTTTACATCGGGATGTATCCCGAAAGCCTTATATTCAAATGAACTGCCCTAAGTAGCCCCAGATAAATTGATTTTATTTTATAGGTTTATTTTTGTTACTATTGTTAGCTACAAATATCGTTAGAAATCGTGTGCTGTTAACCAGCAAAATTGTGTTAAAATAATAATGTTTCCACTTATTTGTGTTGCAGGCACCACTTGGCTGTTTGAATATAATAGTTCTTATATATTCAAACATAATGGGACTCCAATTATTATTTTATGTGCGGAATAATGGGAGCTGGCTGGAAATTGGAACTTCAATATCACAGTTCGTAATCGTACAAGTTATAACCTTGTTCATTGTGCTAATAAATCAAATTGCGAAAACCATGACGGATTTCAGCATTTATAACTTTGCCAATCAAATTCTAGAGAAACGAAAAAAAAGCGTTTAGATGTAAACTTTGTTTTATTTCGAGTAAGTTTCTTTAGATACTAATTTATTTGTTTAATTTAATTGCTGTGATCGTTATTGTAAGATTGAAAGTACCTTTTTTTCCTACCTAAGCTGGTAGCTTTGAGAGGCTATTCCAGCGTAACCTTAACTAGTACGACGACTAGTACTGACGACGTTGCTAACACGAACCCTAGCAAGAGCCGTGCTTCGCAGAATCTACCACCGGATCGGAAACGCGACCCACTGAGAAGATCCGGCGAGAAACTCAATGGGCTGTGTCTGAGGGTTAATTTACCCGTCGAGCCCTTCGTCGCAAGCGACGGGTTCGACGAGAACGGTGACCGGTGTTTGAGGTACCTAAAAGCACCGTTAGTGGATCGGGAAGATCCGAGATGACGTGTTTTGGGCGACGTCGACTGCTTTCCATTCTTTCCGCAGGATCGGTAATGTAGTTACCGGCGGCCACGATGAGAGGGTTCTCGTGTCGTGCCGCTTTATCGAAGTGGCGCATCGACGCCGACTGCATATACTTACTGGTGGACTCTAAGTCCAGGTCGTCATGGAGGTCGACGTTCTTGACGAACCACGGGGCTCCGACGACTATCCTGCAAAAACGGGATTGAATAATTTGAAATGATTTTAGATGAGTGCGGGCCGCATGAGCGAACACTACACTTGCATAGGTCATGACGGGGCGTATGCAATAGTGTTACCTTATTTCTAAGGGACATTTTACTTCGCCTGCATATCATCGGGTAGAGACGTCCTAGAATGAAGGCGGCACGGTCGCGTACCGTCTTTATATGGGGGCGGAATGTCATCCTTCTTTCGAGGGTGACGCCTAATGACCTTCTGGGCCCACGGTATGGGCTGGTCGTACATCGTGAATGGGCGAATGGCGGAGGCGAAGGTGTCGACACGCCTAGTCGGGAGTGGGATGCTCAACGTGGTGTTCGGAGGGCGACCCCTTTTGAAGAGCACCACTGTGCTTTTCGTGGGGTTGATGTCGATGCGCCACTTCCGGAACCACTGTCCCATGGTGGTAGCTGCAGTCTGAAGTCGCCGATGAAGCAACGCCTTCTTTCTACACGAGTAGTAGATTGCCGTGTCATCGGCGAAGAGCGCCAGATGGGTCTCCGGAGGCCGGGGTATATCATGGATATACAAACTGAACAGTAACGGGGAGAGAGCAGAGCCTTGCGGGACTCCGGCTGTGACGTGACGGGGGCGGGAGCGCGTTCCCTCGACTCGATATCGGAACGAACGGTTCGACAAGTAGTCTCGTATGATGAGCACGAGTCTGTCTGGCACTCCCCATGTTATACAGTTTGTATATCAAATCGTTGTGCCAGACTTTGTCGAACGCCTTCGCTATATCGAAAAAGAGGGCTCCTGTCGGGATGGTGAAAGTACCGGTGGTTTTATAAATTATTATATTGTAGTGTTTATTACATTATCAATAACCTTATTTTAATGTCGTTTTCAATAATCTCTCAGATGACATAGTTATACCTAGTTACTAATAAGATAAATTCCCAGTTTGTTTCAAAATCAACGATACGAATGTTATAAAATTGTCCACTATCTGGTCATTTTTTTAAGACTTTGAAATTTGTACTGTTATGATGAGTTCACTAATAAAATCGAATTTTTAATTTATATATTATATGTCAGTTATACTTTTTTCACATAACAGACATTGGTTTGACAAAGGTTAAACGGTGAATAAATATTTGGAATTTGGATGTCTGTAGTGGTCTTGCTTTTGAACCTATCCGTAAGTATATGAAGTCAATGTTACAATGATACCTGACCCGTAACAGTAAAAGCTAATGACGGCCGACGCCCTAGGGACTTACTGACGGATATATCTGATCGACTCTATGCCGTTGTACCTTACTCGTCGTAGAGTTAAACGTAACACTTAGTTCATAACGTCAAACTGCTGAGAGCGCGCCAGAACTCAGCGGATAGCGATTTCAAACCGGAGGCGGAGCGACTGTCCTTGTTCTATTAAGGGTCGTCCGCAGGCGGAAGGTTTTTTATTATAAACCCACCTCTCCTGACTGAGCCTATTCTTGTCCACGCATCCTGGTGAACCTGGAAATGCCTTCGGATCGCTAACAATTATGCCATGCCAAAACAATAAAAGTCCTTCATATTTCTAATAAAGATTTTTTTTATTTTCCAATGTACATTCATATTTTACTATCGTTTGTGAGGCTTTTGTTTTCATGACATAACTAAAATATAACTACATATTTCATTTGATTTCGAGTTAAAAAAAAGGGCAAAAAATTGTGTCGACGTGGCCGAACCGGAGACAATAAAAATTTATTAAAATATTCGTTAATAGTTAGAAGGGCTTACAGCCCATCTGATGTTAAGTGGTTCAGGCGAATATCGCGGTTTATCGCATGACGAGTTACGTAGACTGTATTGAGGCTAATAATCGCCAATACTATGAATAAATTCATATTGTACAAATGCTTAAAAATAAACAATTGTAAAAATTACAATTTGAAAAAACCTGCATTCTTAAGTTATATACCCAATAGTTATCCCATATTGTCGTGTCTATTGGTTTCAATAATGGTGTAAGAACAGATAGGGTCATGATTTTGTTTTAACTGCTTTTAAAAATGTATTTGTCACATTTAAAGCTAAGGCTGAATGGTTGTGGTGGTGAGACACAGAGTAACTACATATACAACTCAAAGTCTATTCTGTTTGAACTATAGAATTGACTGTCTTCCCCATGTTTCCGTACCCATACTCCAGTTTTAAAATGACCTTCTGATGCCCATTTATTCATTTGTTCAGTAGAATGAGGTCCTGATACTTCAGTGTCATCATCTTGGTTCCATTTGAATTCCCATTTCAGTTCTTGTGTCTCATTTTCAGAGGCTTCATCATGGGTATTATTTGTGTCATTTTGATCACTTTTATTTCCTAGAGTTTGTTGTTCTTTCTGATCAAAATCATCTGCATACATATCTAGTTCAGTATCATCATTCTTATTTTTCTTCTTATCTAATAGTTTGCTTATTTTCTCATAGGACTCCTGATAGATGTCCATGTTTCCCATTTTTGTTAAGATTTGATTAGCAAGTTCAGTAACTCTTGTTACAATTTGACTGTTTCCATCAACAATGCCAGCTTTTTTTCTTTTCCAACGTTCTGCACTAGACATTTTAGAAGTGGCACCTGTTTGTAAAATATTATATGTTCATTTAGTAATTCATCATAATTATATTATCAGCTAAGCAATAAATAACAGTGGAACATGTAGTCTGAATATGCAGGACCAGCACCCTACCTATTTCTGTGATGAATGCATAATATATTTCAGTTTGAAAGATGAGGCAGCTGTTGTACTGTAACCATGGAGGCCTTAATATTCATATCTCAGGGTGGGCGACAACATTAATGTTGTTTATGTCTATGGACTACAGTAACCACTAAGCTGGGCCGTAAGATCTTCCACTCATGGAAACTATTTGTTAATAATTATGTACATTGCTTGAAATAATCTTTTTAAAATATGTGTGGTTTGTAGGCTATTAATAGACTGGCAAGTTATTGAACAGCACCATATGATACCGAATGTATTTCTTAAAAGTAGAGAAATTTACATTAATTAACATGAACAAACAAGCTATGCACAAACAACAACAAACAGTAAAAAATGCAAGAATACTATGGAACATTTTACAAGTTTTAACATGCAGGACCTGCTAAGTATATGGCCTGATGCATCTCAGTTACAGCTCCTTTTACTAGATTACAGCTTTCAAATCCTCTGGATATTACTCCACTTGGATTGCTCGGTGAAGTTAAAAAAGCCAACAGCAATACCTCCACACAGGTGCTCCACCTCATTATACATACCAAATGATTCCCATTTAGAGACACATTTATACATACAACATAGTACTATGGTGAACATTTGGTAACAACCGTTTAAGAACACTAGTCAGATCAAAAACTTATTACAACATAATTATAACTGGTACCAGAATAAAACTTACCAAGTCTCTGTAAAGCTTTGGCGATTGTTTCTTTAGGTTTCATATGTTGTAATATTTCTTTATAGTTATGTATCAAATCAAATTGTTGTTCTTGTTCATCTTCACTACTAGATTCATCACCAAGTCCTTTTTCATCGCTATGATGAATTTTATATTTATCCTCTGGTCTACCTTTTACTTTAACCCAGTCAATGTTATCAAGCCATCCATCACGAATTTCTTTTTCTTTTTTCCAATGGTAATGTCCTTGTGTATCAAAATGCCCCTCTTCAAGTTCTTCTTTCATGTTAAAAGGTGTTATTGTAATCTATAAAATAGTACTAATTAATGAAATTAATATTTTATTTGATAGTTATAAGTATTAATTAAGTTGTTAATATTAAATTAAAATTAATTATCCTCAAAAGTATTTTAAGTATTGTTTAGAAAAAGAAACATTTTTTTATTCTCACAACAATTTGAGTATTCTGATTAGGTTTTTGACTTATTCTACTCACTTCACCTTCCATTCCACCAGTTCCTTCCTCTTCACCTTCAATATCATTGGAGTTCATAACATTATTCTTCTCTTCTTCAGCACCACTATCTTCTTCGTCGGAATCCAAGGAATGTTTCTTGCCATCCTTCGTGGCCTTTTTTACTTCGTCTATTAATGCTTCGGAAGCGGGACGCTTTGACATTTTGGTAAAGTAACTAAAAGGAACAAATTTTAATTAAAAAGATTTGGGTTTATCTAACAAAGACTTTAAACTTTAGGCACATTCCTAAATTATCATTGAACACTAAACAAAGTTTTACTCATCCTCACCCTAATATTATTTTGGGCGCCTTTTCTTGAATATTGTGAACTCAAATTGAGTGAATCAGATTCAACTAGGTTGGTACCTCTTCTTAATTGTAATTGTGTGTCTGTTGCCGTGTGTTAGGTACGCTATCAATGAAATTAATGTTTTTATGTCTATTATCAAGGTATGGTCTCAAATCTCAAATATGAAATAAAAGTGTATCAATGACTTAAATGATGTGTATAATCTATGTCTATGACTACGGTGTTTGGTTTTGTTTTTATTTTTTAAGGAATTTTATGACCTGGTAACTAAGACTTTTAAGTCATGTCTTATTTTAATTTATATTCTTATTTTTATGAAAAATGAAAAAATTATAATATGGAGTGAAATGAAATGAAGATGATTAATTTGAGACATTGATCAACTGGGATGAAATGAGATGATACGGATATGAAATATAATCTCAGTAAAATAGTGGTTATTTACTGAAAATTTTTCATTATTGTAGTCCCAAAGGATTCTGTTTCAGGGAGAGTAAGCACCTAAATTAGAACGAGCGGGCTTTCTTATAAACGGTTTAAATTTCTTCGTTCTTGGTAAGCAAGGCTAAGGCTGACATTTTTATCCGGTTTAAGAGATTAGATGTGTTGGTTATTCCATGGATTAATCAATACCTCCATTCTGAACAAATATTAATATATTTTATTATGTATTTTTCTTCTTCTTTACTTAGACATTTTTGTCCACCTTGAGATTTAATTGTTATATGTCTATGCAAAACCGACTTACTTATATTAAATTGCTTAGCTATTTCAACTAAAGGCTTATTCCCAAATTCATAGTCTTCTATTGCTGTTTTTAATATTAAGGGATCATACCTCTTAAAAAGCTTGCACTCTTTGATACATACACGCGAGGCATATCTAAAAATAGAAAACAATACGTAACTGATAATATAAATATAATTGCACTAATAATTAAATAAAAGTTTTAGACAAAAACATCATGAATAAATCAGATTCTTACCAACACGTTTAAAAAAGATTGTTATAACTACATAGACAACCCTACAATCCTGTACGTATTTATACTTAAGTCGTTCCCATTCAACTTATTGTCATCCCAATTGACTCCCCTTTCGTTGTTATTTGTACCTCAGGCGACCCCATTAACCCCAAAAATAACAATTTTAATATGTATTTTTAAATTATCAAAAAACATTAAAAACCAATAACAATTGAGACTTACCGTTAATATATATGATGGCTCAAACACTAAATAACGTTTTTATATCACAGTCGTCTTATATTATTATCAAATAATATATGATGGCTTAACCATCAACTGGTGTTCAGTTGTAAAGGACCTAGGCCTACTTATTGACACCAGCCTGAGTTGGCGAGCCCAGGTCATCTCCGTGTGTCAGTGAGTTACACTTACACTCCGTATGCTTTACCGCCTGAACAATTTCCTTCCGCCTGAGACCAAGAGACAATGCTCGTTTAAACTTTGATCTTCCCCATGATCGACTATGGTGATGTGTGCTACTTTGACCTGAATGCAGATTTACTCAATAAATTTAACCGGCTTCTCAATAACTGCATTCGATTTATTTATAATCTTCGGAAATACGATCATGTATCTTCTCATCGCTCCCAACTCAAATTGCTCCCCATTCGACAACGCCGCAGCTTGCGTGCTCTCAGTACTCTTTACTCTTTGTTGCACTCCCCAAATCCACCTGAATACTTAGGGTCTGATTACAGCCGAAATCTTCGTTCATCTCACAATCTTCTTCTTCGCTGTTAGTTCGGACTTTTTACATTCTTCCTTCACTATTCAATCTATTCTTCTATGGAATGCGCTCCCACTTAAAATAAGGTCGGCCAGAGTTTAAGACAAGGTTTCGAGTACTTAGAATCAATTAGATGACTCTGCTAAGAGTTAGCAGAGTCATCTATTTATTTATATACATATTTTTATATGTATATATTTATGTATATGTATTTATTTAACAAACAAACAACTGTCTGTACAAACTGTTTAAATAGCACTCGGGAGTTATTTTGCAAAAAAAACTGTCACACTTTTGGATTAGAAAAAAATAGATGTTGCTTCAGCTGAAGCACTGTAGTGCGCTACCGAAGAATTACACAATCAACGTGAAAAAAGAGCAACCGGTTGGCAATGTATCGCATCCCGACCCGACAGGCTGGTTCTAGTCCAGCGGGGTATTCCGGGACTCCAGTCGCACTGTGTGGGTGGCCTGACGGGCTATCGTACCCAGACGGCTGACGGCTGTAAAGCATTCCATCTCAAAGGCTCCGTCGACCGGACGTCCTCGGGTGAGCTGCGCTGTCTGTAGTGTTGACCGCGATAACCCCTTTACCTCACCCGGGTTCTGACCTGGAAGGGTATCAGACGATTGGGCGAGAGTGCTGGGGAGTTGTTTAGTGGGTATGGCCCTAAATTCTATCCTTTAGACCCGCGGTACCGGCGAAGGCGGACTTTCGGCGCGCACTATGCGGTATTGTGGGTTTCGTGGAGTCGGAGCGGTCAGTAAGCCCCCTCAACCGGGTAACCGTACGGATTCTACAGCGTTAAAAAAAAACAAAAAGAAGGCCCGCGGTTCACTCCCATACCCCATGCGCCCCTAGGGGCGGGGTATTCCTAGAAAGTTCGGCCCCCAGTCCAAAAAAAAAGATCAAGCACTTCAAACCGCATTTCGTCGACTTTCGCCAGGGAAACTGCTTAGCTGAGTGTTAAGCAACATACCTTGATAAAAAAGTCGTCGGGGCCTAAAGGATAAGACGTTCGGTGCATTCGTGTTGAGTGATGCATCGGTGTTCGAATCTCAGGCGGGTACCAATTTTTCTAATGAAATACGTACTCAACTAATATTCTGGATTGACTTCCACGGTGAAGGAATAACCTCGTGTAATAAAAATCAAACCCGCAATAATTTGCGTAATTACTGGTGGTAGGACCTCTTGTGAGTCCGCGTGGGTAGGTACCACTACCCAGCCTATTTCTGCCGTGAAGCAGTAATGCGTTTCGCTTTGAAGGGTGGGACAACCGTTGTAACTATACTTGAGACCTTAGAATTGATATCTCAAGGTGAGTGGCGCATTTACGTCGTAGATGTCTATGGGCTCCAGTAACCACGTAACAGCAGGTGGGCTCTGAGCTCAAGAGGAACCCAGGGAATTAAATAGCATTCCTTCAACTGGATTGACTATCAATTAATTATTATACATGGTCACTCGGTACAAAAAAAATGTGCAAAAACTAGCTCACTGATGTTATATAGCATAGCGTGTAATGTAACTAATTTAAAGACGACTGACGATGCGACCTTACTTTAAAGAACAATCTATAAAAGTTCTTACATAATTATTTCTTTCTAAAATAATCACATAAGAACTAATAGTTTTGAATTGTTTTAACTTTAGTAAGGGAATGCACAAATACTCAGATAATAATAAAAAAAGTCATTTAATGGATGATTTGACAACAAATCACAGATCTTTTTGATATTCATGATCAGGACTGTTCATAGTATTTTGCTCTTTGTTGTTTGTGCTTCAAATACATTTTTTCACTTGTAATATTCATTCTACTTTTTACTGTAATCAATTCTTTTTCCATATTAAAGTTTTATTATTTGCAGGCATTTCTACTGTATCTATGAGTGTTAGACTATAATCAGCAGCTATTTTAATTAATTCACTGATGTCTCTTAATCCCCATGCTGGATTCCTAGCTTTTAAAGATGCATTAAATTGAACATTACTGTCAGGTGTTATTACTCCATCTTTACTAAAAGGCCCATATAAGATCATTAAAGCATTAGGTTTTAGATAGCAGCCTGCATTTTTAAATAAGCCGATTGTACATTCATAAGGACTTATATGAATCATATTTGCATTATAGACATAATCTATACTTTCTTCTAAAAATCCATAATGAACTAAATCTGTACATATATCCAATTGTATTGGTAAGAGTATATTTTTGGTTGGACATTCCGTTGCATAATATTTAATGCTTCCTAAAAGGGTTTCGTCAAATTCTGTTGGCTGAAATTTTATATTTGGAAAATGAGGTGCAAAGTGTGCTAAATGTTGTCCTGAGCCTGAGGCTACCTCTAAAAACAATGGACTATCATCTTCTGCACAATCATAGGTTACAAATCTCTTTAAAACTTGCAGAATGGGCTCTTGGTTCCTTGTTGCTGCTGGATATATCAACTTTTGATTTGCCATGCTACAAAAAAGAGAAAATTATTTAAATTTGAAGATTCTAATTCAACCTACAGTAATGTACTCAGAAAAACTGTAACACAGACAGAGATTTGAGTGCATTGTGGTTTCTTTGATGATTTTCAATTTCTAAATATATATTTTTTTTTATTTCCCTTGTAGGCAGACAAGCATACGGCCCACCTGATGGTGAGTGGTTACCGTCGCCCATGGACTTCAGAAATGCCAGGGGCAGAGCCAAGCCGCTGCCTACCGCTTCAGATAATGTTGTCTGAATATATAACAGAACCGCTTTAACGATCCACATAAGAGCTCATGTGGAAGGTTAAGTGATTCTGTTATTTATCATAGCAAAAACACGTCGCTGTCTACCAGTATATTTTAGGATTTTTTTTCTTGTTCTGAATCTAAAATGAGGTGCTACGGCCGCATAAAAACCATAAACGATTAGTACATTATTAAACTCACTTTTCATTTCCATGAAAAGCACATGAAAAATCCTTTAATTTCGACATAGACCAATTGTTTAAAAACTTATAATAATTTAAGTTTTTGAAGAAACTAATTTTGAATTACACTTTCACGTATTTCTTATTTTAAAGAGTTATCTTTCAGATATTATTCTTCTTAATCTAAGGTTTTTTGTTTGGTTGGATTCTCAATTTTGATAGTTTTTACCAATTTTCGGATTTTATAAATTATGTAGTAGTAGCAATTTTATTTTTCCAATCGAAAAGGCAAAGGTATCATACCATACAGTTGAATCTTTTATATTTTTTTTTGAAAAATGATTTTATGAAATGAAGTGAAGTTGATTAATATGAAACATGTCATGAAATGAAATAAACTGAAATGATACGATATGAGATGAAATGATATGGGATGAAATATAATCTCAGTAAAATGGTGGTCATTTACTGAGACTTTTTCAGTGGACTTTTTTTAGGATCCCGAGAAGTTATGTTTAGCGGCTTTGTTTGATTTTCCCACATTTGTGCACTTTCACAGATACTAAACAGTTAATAAACCACCGTTATTACACATTTAAACCTGAAGAAACATTATATAGACAAAATAAAACAAATCATACAACTTCCTCCCTCGCGTTTCTGCCAAAAAGATTATTGGATTAACCGTGTTTATCTATTTTTTTTATTGTTCTTTGATTCGTTGATTGGTCAGGGAAATGGAACTTAGTCGATGGATACAGCATACCTATTCACAACGTCCGAATATTTTGTAACAAAGGCCCAAACCATCTCTATGGTATGAAAATAAATAAAAATGGTATACAGTCAAACCTGGTTAAGCGAGAGTTCAAGGGAGCACAATCTCATTCTCGCTTATAGAGGTTTCTCACTAACCCGAGTTTCTCGCTAATGCACCCTCTGAATTTCTTTTCGTGCTTTTCCGGATTCAAAGGCATTCACTATTTTAAGTTTATCACTTAATGACAGTACTTTAATTTTCCGTTTTGACATGATGCAGAACAGAACTTTCCTTCGCAATAGATTAACGATAAACTGAGTAAGGCCGACAAACAGGACGGTACGCAGGCACACTTGTCCTTTTCGAAAAGAATGCGATAAAATAACAACGTTATTTAGTTCCACGAAATAGAATAGGTTCAATATTGACGAGAAAACAACACAAAAACATTGGTAGGAAGTTCCGCGAAAGTTAAGAAAGAGTCATAAAATAGCAGATGTTCAATTTGTAATTTGTTTTGTAATTTATTCCTTCTAAATAATATAAATAAATAAAGCTCGACTGTCGCTTATAGAGGTATAGATAAGTAACAGTCTCATTTACGGAGGTCCATGAGGGAAAAACGACTCTCTCTTACAGAGGTTTCTGTTTCTCGCTAATAGAGGTTTTGGGAGCTTAAAATGACGGGTCCTGGCTATTACTCTCACTTATAGAGTTTTCTCACTTATCCAGTTCTCACTTACCCAGGTTTGACTGTATTTCTATGTAGACAAGGCTACTATTTACTATAGTGTATTTAAACTACTTTAAAGAAGTAGAGATAGGCAATTATCCCCAGGACATAGATCATACTAACCAAGTTTCCCAACATCATAATCGGTATTCGGACTTTTAAATCTAGAAGTACTTAACTAATTACTATTTTGTTATTCACACAGTTAGGAGTACTTAATTTAGTTTAATTTATATAATATTTAGTAAATGAAAGTTCACAAGTATAGGCAAATAAAAAATATCCCTGGGTGTGTCTTGGGGGCTGTCCCAAAAAGTCTTTTGAACCCTCTGTAATTTCGTTATTTCTTTGTAGGTTTTAGAGACATGGCTTCTGCTTTTGTATTAAACAAACCTCTATATTTACCATACCTTTGCCTGTGCAACTGACAGCCCAAAAAACAAAATACTTAGATAAGTTGTAAACTAGGGATGTCGATATTAGAAAAACATCGATGTTGGCATCGATGTTAACGTCGATTTAAAAGTATCGATGTACAATAGTCATCGGTAGCAAAACATCGATGTCTAAAAATATAGATGTTTTTGGTAGGAAATAAAACTGTCTATTTTATTTTATACGTGTTTATTAATGAAAACTACGTTTTACGGATTATAAGCGGCCGTTTAATTATTAGACTGGATTCCAACATCTCACTTCACAATTTACATTTTCTTAATTTCACATACTTATGTAGTACGGTTCCGCGCTAAACACTCGTGCGTACAACAAGTGCACCGCCTCACGGAGCACATCCTGATAGGGCTAAATAGGCGTAAAGAAATCCCGACCGGCGCCCTCTTCTTCGATATCGCGAAGGCGTTCGACAAAGTCTGGCACAACGGCTTGATCTACAAACTGTACAACATGGGAGTGCCAGACAGACTCGTGCTCATCATACGAGACTTCTTGTCGAACCGCTCGTTTCGATATCGAGTAGAGGGAACTCGCTCTCGTCCTCGTCAACTGACTGCCGGAGTCCCGCAAGGCTCCGCGCTCTCCCCGTTATTTTTTAGTTTGTATATCAATGATATACCCCGGTCTCCGGAGACCCATCTAGCGCTCTTCGTCGATGACACGGCTATCTACTACTCGTGTAGAAAGATGTCGTTGCTTCATCGGCGACTCCAGATCGCAGTAGCTAACATGGGACAGTGGTTCCGGAAGTGGCGAATCGACGTCAATCCCACGAAAAGCACAGCGGTGCTCTTCAAAAGGGGTCACCCTCCGAACACCACTTCGAGCATCCCACTCCTTAATAGGCGCGCAAACACCTCCGCCGTTAGCCCCATCACTCTCTTTGGCCAGCTCATACCGTGGGCCTCGAAGGTCAAATACCTAGGCGTCAACCTCGACAGAGGGATGACATTCCGTCCCCACATAAAAACGGTACGCGATTGCGCCGCGTTTATACTAGGACGACAACCCAATGCTTTGTAGTCGAAGCAAACTGTCCCTCCGTAATAAGGTAACTCTCTAAAAAACTTGTATACGGCCCGTCATGACGTATGCAAGCGTAGTGTTCGCTCACGTAGCCCGCACCCACTGGAAATCCCTTCAGGTTATTCAATCTCGATTCTGCAGGATAGCCGTCGGAGCACCATGGTTCCTGAGGAACGTGGATCTCCACGATGACCTGGAGCTCGACTCAGTTAGTAAGTACCCACAGTCGGCATCGCTGCGCCATTTTGAGAAGGCGGCACGACATGAGAACCCTCTCATCGTAGCCGCTGGAAACTACATACCCGACACAGTAGACCAAATGGTAAACCGTCGACGTCGCCCAAAGCACGTCATCACGGATCTTCCTGATCCATTAACGGTGCTTTTAGGCACCACAAGCACCGGTCACCGTCCTTGTCAAACCCGTCGCTTGCGACGAAGGGCTCGACGAGCGAATTAACCCCATAGACACAGCCCACTGAGTGGATCTTCTCGCCGGATCTTCTCAGTGGGTCGCGTTTCCGATCCGGTGGTAGATTCTGCGAAGCACTGCTCAGTGTTAGCAACTCTCCGGTTGAGCTCCGTGAGCTCACCTACAAACGTTAGGGTGAAGCTGAAATAGCCTCTCAAGGCTATCAGCATAGGTAGGAAAAAAAAGTAGTACGGTTTACTTCCATTACAATAATTAGTGTCATCTAGTTTAAAATAGTTGTACTACCTAGGGACTCACTAGTTAGAAAGTATATCCACCGTTAGATGGACCTAACAGATATATGGACGTTTCGATATTTTATTCTCATAACATCGATGTCATTGTGTCGATGTTATCGAAACTAAACATCGATGTTTTTCAGATAAACATCGATGTTTATTCTACATCGATGAATATTGAGCATCCCTATTGCAAACTTTAGGCTAGGTATATACTAAATGTAGGTACCTACTTATGTATACGCCATAGATTATACACTTAATATTGGTATACGCTACTTTTTAACATAGTAAATATTACCGGCTGTTATAATTTAAACATTCTATCAAGAATTTAAAAATATCCGCCCGTATTGCACCAGCTACGAAAAGAGATAAATTAATGATAAGTGTAATTAATGTATTTTAGAAATATGGATAGTGTAGAAAAAAACCATAAAATCAAACAAGAATTTGTCATGGAACTTTTTTTAGACACCGAAAGTGTTTCTATTGTCGATAGATTGGCTGCTGCTACAGCAAATGTGATAAACGAAAACCATCAAAATCTGACCAAATTTAATGATCTTATGAAAACAGAATATTATCAGCTATCACAGATGATGGTTCAAGATTGCCATTCCGGTGTACCTGTTGCCCATAGGATTAAAGGTTTCTACGAAGAGACTATTAGAAAATTTGGTAATAACGAATACATAGAGAGGTTTAAGATGAAGAGGTCTACCGTTCAGGTACATTTTATGATTTGTTTTAAGCACTTTCTATTTGGTAATACGATAATTGAGGAATAATTATATAATGAAATAATTAAATAATAATAAAAATAATTAATAAGACGATAATTTAAATTAATAATTAAGGATATTTGGTAATATTGTCGTAATGATTTTTGCTTTGCAGTCTTTAATTAGCTATCTATGATTACAATATTTAATTTATGAAATGAATCGAGTTAGTCTAATTCAGTAGTAAAGTATTGCATTTAGTTTTATATTTACCCAGTAATAATAGTGGCAATTGTTCATCCTTACAGGCTTTGATTGCATTTCTGAAACCTTATCTAAAACCTGGAAATGTACCATTAGATAAAAAAGTTCATGTTTTTCTATGGTTTATGGTCAATGATTCTTCATATAGTGACATAGGAAGATTATTTGGATTACACAAGTCTTCAGTGAGTTACATATTCCACGAAATTGCGTTACTGCTAACAGAAGAGAAGGAACGTTTCATAAGTTGGCCATCCGTTGAGAAGCAACAACTAATCAGTAATAATGTCAATAGCAGGTTTCGATTTCCAAATTGTGTGGGATTTATTGATGCATGTCGCCTAAAAGTTGGTTCTCAAAGAAATAAAAGGGAAAAACCAGACATAGTCCTCTTGCAAGCGGTTTGTGATGATTACTTGACATTTGTAGATGTACACGTTGGAGATATTGGGAAAACTAAAAAAAGCAAATTATTCAAGGATAGTTCACTTTCAAATGAATTAAAAATAAAAGTAGATTTTCAAAAGCACATACTTGGTGATTCAGAATACAAACTTAAAAAATATCTGATAACTCCCTTTACCAGTGAAGAAGTTTTGACAAGTGAAGAAATGAAATTTAATGAAATTCACTGGAAAACACGTAGTTATATAGCACACGCATTTGAGTTGTTAAAAGAAAGATTCCGAAAACTTAATCACATAGATGTTTTAAAACCAGAATCTGTTAATATATTAATTATTTCGGCTTGTGTACTTCACAACTTTGTATTGTTACATGAAGGCTGTTCGGAAGTCAAAGAAGAATTGATAACTTGTGATGATGGTGTTACTATAAATAGCAATGTTGTCAAAACAGCAGAAGAGAAAAGACAGTTTTTATGTAATTACATTGAATACATGGGTATTGAAAATAATTAACAAAATAAATTATAACGTTTTAAGGGTCTGAAATAACAATAATACTAAAACTCGAAGATTTTACACTTTTATTAATACTTATTTGTTCAAGTTTAAAAAATTGCTAAAAAAATGAAAGTAAAATATACAATATCTGATGTAAGTTTCAACGGAAGCTGCATATCATATGTGTAAGTAAACACAAAAAATCTATTAGTATCAATAATAACTGTTTTGAATTCTTAAGAATACTTTATTATTTTCTACAACTTACTTTATTATTACTCTATTACTAATATGTACAGAAATTATATATTCTTGCTTAACTTAAGACACTTTGATGATTATACGGTGGGAAAACTTAAAGATTTAGCTGTCTGGTGGTTGTGTCATTCGCATAAATAATACATAAAAAAATTCAACCTATTTTGCCACCGTAGGTAACCATGAGCCTACAGTCCAGATTATTCTAAGCAGTTAGAGCACTATGAAAATTAGCAGTGCTATTTCTTACTCCATTTCAGAAAAGAACTTAAAAGTGACTTTTGGAAATGCATCATGGATATAGGTAATGGCTCCAGGTAATAGGGATATACTTGAAAAAAAAAAGTAAGTATGCGTTACTATAGTGTACATTTGTAGATTTACGTAATACAATATTATTATGTATTCTGAAATATTTTAAATGGTACAAATATTGATTTACAAATATAAATATTACTAACTTAAATATGATCAATTATTCCAAAAGAGCAAAGCAAATCATGATTAACAGTCATAGTCTGAAGCTATAAAATATTTTATTCTCAGTATCCTAAATAACATTAGGCACTAAATTGGCAACCTACAAGGCACTATGCACTTAGCACAGCATTACGATATACGATATTATGTTGCATATGCTTTAACAAGATAAAATTATATTTAATATCTGCTGTAACATTCGACAGTTCATTGAAATCTGCTACAGTAACTACCGTTGTTCTTTGTGAACTTTAAACATTCTGAAAAGATGTTCTTGTAAATCTGAGGGGCTTTTCTCTGCGGACTCATAAGAGGTTCTACCAACAGTAAGTAGACTTACTGTTGGTAGGACCTCTTGTGAATCCGCACCTGTAGGTACCACCACCCTGCCTATTTCTGCCGTGAAGCAGTAATGCGTTTCGGTTTGAAGGGCGGGGCAGCCGTTGTAATTATACTGAGACCTTAGAACTTATATCTCAAGGTGGGTGGCGTATTTACGTTGTATATGTTTATGGGCTCCAGTAATCACTTAACACCAGGTGGCCTGTGAGCTTGTCCACCCACCTAAGCAATAAAAAATATAAAAAAACATGCTGGGCTCGGCCATTAGACCAGTTTTGTTCTCAATTAATTTTTTCTGATATCTACATAAGAACATCGATACCTACTAGCATTATAGCCGTTTAAACTAAGGTATTATTTTCTGCAGTTTTCAATTAACAATGTTTTAAAATATATATTTGTTTGTTTAATCATGACATCTTTCTACTCAACATACGTATAAATTATGTAATAACAATTGTGATTCGAGTGGTCGATTAGGTACTGTTCATGTTACAGCAGATTGTTAAATAACAGTTTGTTTATACATCAATTGTAAGTATATCAGAACAGATATCTTCGAATTTGACTTTGTCAAATTAGGATTTTGAGCCCTATTTATTCTAATAACAGTATGTAACTATGTCGTTATATACACATTAAATTATATTTACAAAATAGCTGCACCGCAACATTATTTGAATAAAAAATTCTTGGAATGCATCAACAATAACGTAAAGTATCTTTTTACAAAATTTCCAATTTTCATTAGCGATATGCACTAATCATATAAATGACAATAATTGTCAGCTGCTATGGTTTATTAAATATAGCTTGATATGCCGGACACATGGCGGAGTAATATTTGTAGAGTAATTTTTGGTACCTACAAAAATTAACTGAATTCTGAAATGCAAATATCTCTTCAATGTCATCCAATGTTCGAATCTAAGCTATATTTAATAAACTAAGAATGTAATGTATCGGGGTACCTAAAATAATCGACGTTAAAAAAATATTACAAAATTACCGCTATGTAGTCTTGTATAGTTTTAATCATATATCCTCAAAAATGAAAACGAAATTCGAACAGAGAGAAACGAGATTCTTATAGAAAATATAATTGAATCTCAATCAATCTTAATTTGCCAATATCTAAAAAAAAACTCAAGAATTAGGACTAGGTAAGTACGTAGGTACTTGTAGTTGTATGAGCATGTCAACAGAAATATAAAAGATCAAAAAATTTGGTACAGTTTTCCATTTAATGTTGCTCGAGGTACCCCCTTATAAAATGAATTATAGTCATAGACAAAATTTAATCACAATCTTCACGGTTCGAGTACATTGCTTGAGTAGTCACGAATTCTTTAACAGTCCCGTGTTGCACACAAAATTTTAAATATGATATTTACACCGTAAACAATAGTCACACATTTACATTCCGGTCTTGACCGAATACATCGGAAGACTTGGCACACACTTGATTATTCAAGTCACTTAGTAATGGACCCATATACAGTTTCTCTTAATAATTCTCATATGTATGTTTTTTTCACTTTTTGTAAAGTGCCGCACTTGAGATCTTTATCCAGGGATTCGGTGGAATTTCGTAAATCTAGAGTCCGCTCTTTGCCGAGCTCCAGGTGCAAGTTGTCTTGTTTTGCCAGAGGGCAGACGTTCGCTACCATATTGACGTTTTTTGATCGAGGTGGGAGATACGCAGAGTTTGCGTTTAATGGAGTTTCTAATGGACTTAATCTGTAATAAAAAATATTTGTTAGTAAAATAAATGGCCGTGGAAAATTATTAAATGAATTCAGATTAATATTGGTACAAACCTATTTAAATGATTGTGTTGTTCATTAAAAGGTGGGGAATCGGAAAAAAATGGGTGTCGAAATCGGCGCGAAAATAGATATCCGAAGACAAACCCAACCATGAGGGTAACGAGACAAGACGCCACTACGGCTGTGAAGAGCGCTTGTGCACTATAAATATTCCCATCGGCTGCTTCTACTGTCAGCAAATCTAAAATAAAATATTTTAAACTTGGTTATTTTTGGGAAATTACATAATTTCTGTATAAAATATTATATTGAACGATTTTATAGAAATGTGTGTTTTTACATATTATGCATGTATTTCTATATAAAATTATTTTATTTTAATTTTTTACCGGTTTCGTGTTTATTGTTGTGTGAATTTTTCTCTTCCGCTATAACGTTTGTTTCTAAAACTTCTTCTATAAAAATTTCATTTTGAATGTCATCAGTCTTTTGTCGTGCTTCGGATTCGGAGGAGGAAGGTTTTTTAGTTCCAGGATTTCTGTTGCTATGTCGTTCACCCGGTAACAGAGCGGGGAGCTTATTACAAATATCAGTCTTTCCATGTTCTACATTTTGTAAGAATCTCTCAGGATTCGGAAATTGTCTGTTCCCAACCCATGAACATTGTTGTTCCTTGGAGTCCCAAGCGCAGTGTGGATCTTGTAATGAAACGCATTCTCTGAAAAACCAAGAGTGTTTTATGAATTTTGTTTAAATAGCATAAATGTAATAAATTTGTACATTATAATTGTCAGCTTAATAATTACCTGCATGATTGCACGTTCCCGCAGTGGGATAATGTTACAGCTTTAATAATATCACCCGAAGCCACTATCAATTTTTCAGTGGTCAGAGCAACGTGCATCTGTTTGATAGGTACACCTTGAGGCAGAACCTGTTCTTCAGAAATGACTGCGGTCCTCACAGGATTTTTGCTATATTCATCTACGCTCGCGTCAAAAACGCCTTCGTTAGAGGCAACATTAACAGCTTTGATTACTCTACCATCGTCAGTGCCGATGTACAATACATCGTATTTGTTTCCATTCATTGCTTGAACTTGAGGATGAACGGCAATAGCGGAAAATCTGTATTGCAGACTGACTCTAATCAGTATAGGTCGTGCTAAAAACGACGGTACCGCTTTATCCATCAAAGGATGGGCCTTTACGAAGTTAACGACTTCATCTGAAAGAGTCCTACTATCCTCCACGCAAGAACCGGGCCTGGTTTGAGGTATTTTCTCTTTTTTAACGGGTAGCCAATTTGAGTTCCAATTTTCTTGTCCTTTGAAGAGTCCCTCAAAAGCATCTATAATATCTCTCATTGCAAATGCACATACCGCTGATCCGCCGATTGCGTTTTGCGGTGTTGTGAATACTGCGTACATTATGTCATTTCGACTGTTACCACTGCCATATATACCATTTATAAGTTCTGTTGTAGCTTCTGTTAAAGAAAAGGTTTAATTTTAAATAACGTTATTAGATCGAGCGTCATACATACATATAAAGGTAAAACTTACGAATTTCGTCAAAATAGAAAGGATAGTCTCCAGGCATTGAACAGTTCATACGGGCTTTGAGAAATGACATCCATTGATCGCTATATCGATTCGGGCCTCCTTTATCGTTAAGACATATTCTTGCAACTCTTGAATAAACAGCCTGGAATAATATGAACATTTTTAAATGGATCACAAGGAATAAATAAATTCTGAAGACTTTTAATGAGTATATATATGAAGACAATACCTTTCCACAATTCATGTATTCCACTGCGGTTTCTCTGTAGAAGAAATAAGCATGACTGGTGGAAGCAACCGATCCAACAAATGACGGGTCATTTAATAACAAGAGATCTGACCGTCCTGTCCTTACTGGCTCGCGATAAATTAGTGGATCAGTGCCCGAGAAATCCGCTGCCGTGGCCGTATAGAGTTGCCCATCTGTGAAGAAAAATGATGACGATTTCAATTTATAAAAAAAACAGATAAGTAATTATACTAAATGTAATGTCAATATACACTCTCCAGGAGTTATGTTACGTGTTGTTTCTTGAATAGTGCTTCGTGATATCGCCTTGTTCGTTGCTAGTTATCTCTACTACTACTAACTAATCGCTTAGTACAATTACATATCAAGATATTATAAGGAAAGTTTGTTTAACTTAAATACCTATATCTTCAAAACAACTGTTTTTCGTGTAGGTTTTTGATGTTCAGTAATGTTTTAGTTTGTATTATTTATTCATGGTTGTCAGTTTATTTCATATTGTGTACAGAATTAAATAAAAATACAACCAACAATTTGATAGGGTCTTTTCATACGGTAATTTGATAGGGATTTGATAGGGTCACCTCAAGTCGTGCGGTCGGCGTTCGTGACCGACAAATGTTCTCCACCAACTGAGCAACACAATCTCTGACGCTGTGAAACACTTCAATGAAGTACCTACTGCTATGAAAAGTTTTTGGTTTGCTTACCGACAAAAACAGAAGTCGAATTGTGCTGAGGATCATACGGACATCGGCCACTCCCATCAAATTCATCGATATGACGGTAAGGGGGATGTCTTCCATAGCGCCTGCATTGTGGTTTGAAAGCGTTCGTGCCACAAACGAGGAAGCGGCCGTGCGCTCGCACAGCAATCCGGGGATAATTTTGACATTCATCTGGAGATTTTCCTTTTAGCTGACATAACTCTTTATGTGCTTCTGTCGATTGCCACTCTAAGCGCTATAAAATTAAACATAAAATAAAACGTAAATTACATTGTTGATGTTGTACAGAAATAATAAAAGAAAATTAATTAAATTTATACAGAAATATTACGACAAATAAATTTGTGAAAACAATCAACGAAGTCGTGTTAAAAAAAAAAAGCATTTAGCCGGCGTGAAGTGAACGACTTACGCCGATGTTCATGAATAATTCAAAACATCATCGGCCAAGCTCTTAAATGTCTAGGTAATTTAAAATGTCATATTCGACAGTGTAGTGAAAACACTTTTTAGTGACGAAGAATAAATAAACAAAGCTATAACATTAAAAATATGTACGAGAAATGATCTATGTATATTGCGTATAAATTGAATTTCTTTAGTATTCATAAGCCGCATCATAGTTTTAATAATATAGGTAAGTTGAATAAAATAAATAAAGTTTTTTGTGTATGTATCGTAATGTATTTGGCGGAGAGCCAAACATCCCCTCGTACTGGTGTCTGTCCATAACGTATTTTTATTTCATGCGCACATTGTGATGCCATTAATCGTAGCCTCGAATGAATTTTGTATTCGAGCTCTCACAAAACGAATTGGAGTCCAAAGTCGAGAGAAACAAAACAAAATTAGAGAATAATTGTTTGTCTGTTTTACTGCTATATCTACCGTCAAAATATCGGAAAAATAAAAGTTTGACGCATTATGATAACAGTAACGAAATTGACCCGAATTATGTTTAGTTATTTAGTACTTGATAAAAAAATCTTCTGTTAGATGTTTGAATCCTGCATATCCTGGTTCTATTCATGGATAAAATTGGCGTGGTGCCCGTAATCTACATTATTGTTGCTACATACGGCTCGGTAAGATTACAACAGAACAATCCTAAAATTGAATGTTCATCATAACTGATTCCTCTCCAATACAAAACCTAAGACGATTCGAGAAAATGTTTTCCCTAGTGAAATGGGTCGGTATTAAGAGAACCAGTCGGTTCATTAGAGATTAAATATGACGTTTCTGTCAGATTGGTTAATATCTATTCCAAATACTCATACTTCGCCCACATAATATACGAAATATGGTAAATTGATTTAGTTAGTTGATAATATTTGTTTTATTTTATAATTTAGGTATTGTTTGTAGTGTTGATTAAAAAAAATGAAACAAACCATGTATGATCTGCTGTTCTATAACCGTGTGAACACTTGAATCCATGTTGAATATGAATAAACTAGATGGCAGTTTTAATCACTACATGCGTAACTGTCTGGCGTAAATTTACCAGTATTCAGTTGTATTTTTTACCTAACTACCGTGTCATTGTAAACAGTGGAATTTTTTTCCACAAAAATTATTACTCATGCAAATATTAAAATGTTTACACATGTAAAACAAATATTGTTTACTGTAGCAGTGAATAGTATGTAGTGATGGTATTAGTTAATAAAATTAATAATTATTCTATTTCGATCATTAAATAATATGAGAGACAAATTTAAACCTTAACTCGGGAATGTCGAATTCGAAACACAATAAGAAAAAGTAATTGTTATAATAATTTGTAAATTATATATATTTCTACGATTGATTTTTGCTGAAGTTGAGTTTATAAAAAGTCTGACCATAACGTATTATAGTTACCATACCACGTAATCACTGTATTTCACGGATGGAGTTAATTATAGGTTTAGAGGATTTGTTCTGGTGTTATTCATGAACTTTGGCAGCCTAATAATGCACCTATCGTAAATTACAAAATCAATTTAAAATCTTACAGCTAATTTTAACGTATCAGTGTTACACTCGGTATACCTATACTTGTATAAAATGTAGTTGTCGATCAATATAAACCTTGTTATTCCTTAATTCGATTCAAAATGAGATAAATTATATCTACGTTAATATCTACGTTACATAGAAAGCCACAGTGAAAACAAGTTTACGCATCGTTAGCATAAATACTAGTAGCCATATCGTAAAGCGTAATTAAAAATGGCCACGTACAACGAACTTTAATCGCACAGACGATAATGATATTTGCAGATACAGAGTGTCTTGTGACATGGCTCAAGTTTCTGCAGCCATGTTGACCTCTTTAGTTGTGTTGTGGTAATTTTTTGGGATCATTAAACCGAAACTAGTTTTAAGATAAAAAATAAAATAAAATAAACATCACGAGTGAAATTAATTTTTCAATAATAATCTTTATACTGTTAAACTAAGAAAGTGAAAATAGTAACATTAATTCATACAGTTGACGCAAAATCTATCAGTTTCAAGACACCGTTAGAAAGTAGGTATATGATTTTTATATTTGAGCCACTTTCAAAATTTTGCCGCCCTTGGCATCAATCTGCCACTTATCATAGTTGAAAGATTTGAAGATGAGTATCATATGAAATTAATTACCTGATCAACGTTTTCTGACAGATCGTAGAGACTGAGATTGTAGACAGTATTCCTGTAAAAGTAAATTAACATAAATATTGCTAAATTTTAAGCGAATGTTCAAGGTGATGAATGTTGAAATTTATGCTCGTGCCTCTTCGAATTTGACACTTGGAAAGTAAAATAATTTAATAACAAAAGTAGTGTTTAAATCTACTCGTAATAGGTGTCTTTCAGAAGTTTATGTTGCATTTAACCGAATCTTGTGTATATTTTTTTATTCAAACAATAAATTGACAAATGAAAGTATTCAATAATTTTACCTGCCACCAACTATAATAGAGAAGTCGTCTCTGTCTAAAATTCGGAAATGGTCCGGTGCCGTTGCATTACCCACGAACTGTTCTGAATTTTCATCGCCTGAAAGAATTTCGGGCGTAAGTCATCGATTACATTATAATTAGACGTATATATAAAATAAAAATGCTTTGACAGTGATAAAAATCAAAGCTTAAATTCTAAAGCAAACAGTTTCTGGAGTTTTGCGAGACGTTAACATCACGAAATGAATGTGAGTTTATTAGACCGGAATAGTTTTTAATTTTGGATTTAACCAACGTAGAACACACGCACAACCGTCGTATATTTCTTTTTTTTAGTAGCTTTAATGGGTTAGCGGCGCACGGCCTACTTGGTGTAAAATTATTATCTGAGAATGGTTTCATTGTATATGTATATAGCCATATTATAATGACGTTTAAGCTACGTTAAGGCAAGATTGAATTCTTCACTGCTTTAGTGCTACGACTGTTCTAGTCTTTAAATCAGAAATCACGATTACTTTAGAGAAATAAGCAGGATTGTGGAACCCACCATTTCGGGCTTCATGTATAAAAAACTTGCTTATTTAAATTTTTGACTAAATCTTAAATGGAGACTTATTGAGTGTTGGTTTTAATTGTGTCAAGGCGATTCGCGCAAAAAAAAAAAACGTGTTTTGTCTTTTTGTAAAGAGTAAACCAATAACATTTCCATTGTAATGTGATTAAATAACAATGAGCGATTGTGATTTCGCAACAATCAGTTGAGAGTTTCTCATGTCTCACGTCTTTATGAGACTTTAGTCTGACACCTGCAGTACCTACCTATTAAGTAAGTATAATACACCTATATTTTAGCTATTTTAGAAAATTTAATACTGACCACAGAAAGAAATAATATTTCAACAGCAGGATGATTCGACAGATTTGGAATATTGGTCATGCGTACGACCCTACACTATATTGAATGAAATGAAATTTGTGAACCTTTAAACCACCCTAGAACAGAATCTTGTCGAATGCTTGCAGGGAAAGGGGAGTTCGGGCATTATTACCAACGGTTATGTATTCCTAGTCAACCAACACGCAACCTTTCTCTTTCACATCTATTAGTTATTTTCTGAACATCGTCCTTCTGTACTCCATTAAAAAACAAACATAAAATTAGCTATTTATTAGGGACTAGGTAGAATTTCAAATATTTTTTACCGTATTTCACGTGGATTCGTGCGTTTGAGTCGGGCATCCACGCCTGTGCAGTGGACGCTAACAATACTAGGACCGCGCGAACGACGGCCATTTTGGATTAACACCCAAGCCTCTCTATGCACGCCATGCTCCTGCACTGCTGTCTGTGCTCTGTAAGAAAAATATAAAAATTGTATATGGTATCACGCATTTCTTATAAATACGAGTAGAATATTGTTTTACTGTACATAGGTATTGGATTGAAATGCATTATAAAACGAATTTATTAGTTTTTGCACTTAAATAATCTTCGTTTAAAATGATTCTTTGAATTTATTTTTATTGTTCAGGCGTAAATATGACTGAATTGTTACCGTTTTTTGATAAACTTATGTTCATTGATAATTTTCTATGAACCATAATGTTATAATAATCTTTCTTGGACAGAATTGACTTATTATATTATTATATTTCGTAACGCGCTTGTTTATTGCGATCTAGTTAATTATAGAATATGTATTTAGTATTCAGTTCGTATCTATTGCTGTCATATTTGACATTGCTTATAGTATGTATAGTTTCTCAGTACACCATGTTACAAGTATCAAGCAACATATTTAGATTGACTAAATTTGATAAACTGCTAAGTATGGATATCTGTTTATACTTTATTTTTCTTCATTATTAGTTAATAGTGCAATTGATGTTTATCAATTACAGTAGTTTAAGTTTAGTTTAGTTTTAGTTAATTAGTAGCACAATTGATTTTAATAATGAGGAATATCTATCTATATCAAATTAATAATCTAAAATATGATATATGAGTCGTCTATTATCAAAGGTGGCAATCTGAGCATTTGGACAAAAAAAAATTATTGATATGTCAATACAGATTGATTTGAATATAATCGTCTCCTTCAAAGAATACGGCTCAAAACCTGCATTAAATAAAGGTTAATAGTTAACCTGTTATTTATCTAAGATGTCGTTCCGAAGAGTTTTGTGACTGCCAATGGAATACAAAGTAAATAATTCGTTTTTCTGATTTACCAATCATTGTCCAAAAGTCAGATTGCCGGCTTTGATAATAATCGACTCATATAGTTGATAAAATCAATTGTACTATGTATGTATGCACTTAAAAATAATAATATTTTAATGATGCATGTATATATTGTGAGCGCACGATCATCTCAAGTTATGATGACCCGTTCTGGTTCTCGGTCACACGAGATGATCGTTTGACGCACGCAGCGTGCATCCGCAGACGCACTCGTTACACAAGATTCGCTGTCTATTTTTTTGCACTTTTTTAACTATTATGTAGAGATCGTGAGAAGCAAAACTCGATGNAATAATAATATTTTAATGATGCATGTATATATTGTGAGCGCACGATCATCTCAAGTTATGATGACCCGTTCTGGTTCTCGGTCACACGAGATGATCGTTTGACGCACGCAGCGTGCATCCGCAGACGCACTCGTTACACAAGATTCGCTGTCTATTTTTTTGCACTTTTTTAACTATTATGTAGAGATCGTGAGAAGCAAAACTCGATGTGAATCGTGATCGTCGCACTCACTGCCCGTTTTGTTACGATATTTCTTATTTCTCGTATTTAGCGGTACCTACTACGTTTTTTTGTTTTGTCATTTGGTGTAATAAATTTTGACGACGTTGAATATAATGCTATTAAATTTTTAGGGCCTTAAAATTTTAAAATCGGAGCTCAATAGTAATGGTTGTGGAAACAATGAAAACACCCCAAGTTGTGTCTAGTAAATTTTGCGCCAGATGTTGCTGTTCATTGTGACACTTGAAAGGGATATCAAAATACAATATAATGATCGTACAATGTCATGCACTTTCACAGATGCACTTTTAAGCAGAAACAATCAAGGGGTCGTTGGATTGACAATTATCCTTTTTGTTTCTCAACAATGTACTTTTTTAGACATCAAAATGAAATATCAAAAAACAATAGTAATATAACGTAGGTAGTTCAATTACATTTAAATACGTACCAGTACCAGTTAATCAATTAACAATAAGTACCATTAAGTATACCAGTACCAATAAATGTACCAGTTAATCAAGAGACTCGAGTGATCTTATTTACATATTCAAAGCACATTGCGTACAACGGTAGGTACATTAAAATGTCGATTCACAAAGAGCGCTCATCAAGGTGCATTCACTTGTTCATTACAAAGTTTCAGATAAACTCTTAATAAACGTGCATATTTTTATTTCAGTACCTATTCTGGTCGTCATTCTCTAATTGATTTCGATTATATTATTGAATTTTATTAACGACTAGCTTAGCGGTTATTGTCGTACCGCGGGTGACGCCGCGGAGCGAAGGTAGTCTAAAAAAAGTAGCCTAAGTTACTCCACATATCATCAGCTATCTATCAGTGAAAGTCCCGTCAAAATCGGTCCAGCCGTTCCAGAGATTAACCGGAAAAAACAGCAGACACAAAAATTGTAAAAAATGTTATTTTGGTGTATGTACCGTATACATATTCATATGCATGTAGTAAAAAGCGGCTATTTCAATATTACAAACAGACACTCGAATTTTATTTATATGTATAGATAAGTCCGAAAATAAATACTCAGACGCGGTTAGCTGATATATGAGACCTTGGATGCTATTGAAGATGAAGTCTTACTATCTCACATTAAAAAGGAAGCTGCGGTTAAGAGTTTTTTTTTATAGTACAACGACAGTAGGTACACACCATACGGGTAAATGACCACAGTAAAAAATATACTGAAAATATACAGCTATGAAAACAGTTGATGATAAACAAAAGTTTTCCGCTATACTCTCGATGTAAGTATAGAATTTATTGCTGCATTTGACTTTGTCACGATTCCCTGCAGGAATGTAGGTACGTCTTCAAATGATACGTGATAAGGATAGAAGGATAAGTCAGAACGTGGCAGGACTCCCAAACAGAAATCTTACCATTTAAATATATAATCATTTCAAGTTAATAATGTTATTAAGATGTTATTACTTTACTCAAACCGGCTGAATGTTACGATAGCAGGTACGTTACGTAACAATTTTAGTGAAGTAACTGATTTTTTTTTGTGATTTTTATATAACTAAAGGTCCCGCAGTAGTCGAAGTTCGACTATAATAATTAATTGGAATTGTTTGTACACTATTATGATTGTATTTTATCCTTCTATAATCACAAATTTCGCCAAGGCTACACTATAAAAAAATATTAATAAAGACAAACTATATTTAATCTATTCTCAATTTGCCCACAGACGTCAAGAACAAAAGTTTGACAATAAATAGTATGCACACGCATGTGTGCGTCAAATACATGGTATGTAGTGTGTGTAATCTTTTCTTTATTGATTTAAGATATCTTATATACATTATTTAAAAAAAATATATTAGCATTGTGCACTTCTTCTCTATATTCTAAGTGAGGAAAATTTCATACTCCTCCGTCCACGCAATTTTCGTAAAAAGGGATACAAAGTTTTTGCTTCACGTATTGATTTTTAGTTTAATTGAGCAAAACGTGATACGTGTTCAACTAGGACTAAGATCAATTCAACTGTTAGAGCACAATTATTTAAAAGTAATAAGTGAACCCAGTATGAGCGTAAAATATGTGTCAATCGTTTATAAGTTTGAAGCATATGTGAAATGAAATTAAAACGTCACGTCTTTGGTCATATTTTAATCCACGCGTTGGCAATTTGATTTTTATGTCTTCTTAACGCGACTTCACGACAAGTGGGCCGTAAGCTCGTCTTCTGCTAATCGTTAGCATGTATTGGATTATGAAATTGTGAGTACCTGAATTACCTGGTATCAGTTTTATCGTCTTCGCACTTGAGTAAACTTGTAGATGCCTTGTAAGTAGGTGAATAATATTAAACTACATTTTCTATAATGAGTTTGCTCACCGTGGCTCCGTGTTAGTATTACAAAATGTAAATAATTCCGTTCGATGACCTGTTTTAGTTTAGCTATTTTCAATTCGAATATTGTATAAAATATGATATAAAATAATGAGTACTGCCAGTATTATGAGGGAATTATTGCAAGAAATGGACAGTCTAATTTTATAAGCATTGGGAGGCAGTTCATTGGCACAACCAACACTCTGGGGTGCGGACTCGCAGTCTTTTATAATCCCAACTAACGGCTAGATTTACTAAAATTTTTAATATAAGCTTGCTCATAATATTTTATGGAGTTTCTATTATGAATTCTGAAATAAAAACCTGTAGTAATAATAAGATTCCACGAAAATTGCACACGTTTAAAGTCGTAACTATACTAAGACTTCGGTTTCGTCGTTTACCTAAAATGGGTACATAATTATTCAATATTCATACGACATCAATATGTGGTTAAGCGTATTGTGATAGTAAAATGTCATAATTGCTATCGGTTACAGTTATTTGTTTAGGTATTATTTTTCGATTGCATATTTCAATGTAAGTTTTATTTAGCATTCATAAATTGAAAACAGTACATAATTAAATATTGACTTTGGTAAATTTAAATCGAAATTAATATGTGATTGTTGCGTTTTCTGTTCCGCTTTCGCCTTATGAATTTTCGACATAAATTACAAAAATATTGAAAAAATAACATAATATGTCATTACATTGCATTATAATGAAAATATTACTGTGGTTTTTTGTTATTCTCACGATTTAACCACGTGACCTATCAAGTTCAAAAACGTAACTGGGGAAGCATTCGGGTAAACCTACATGTGTCATCCTTTTTATTATTTTCGATCTATTTATTTGAGCAGGGATATTGGGTTATTGTATTCGTTGAAGTTATGTTATTCAAAATTTTAGACAGAATACAATGAACCCCCTTGGAATGAATTACTTAGAAACCGTTTAAATCTGGCGGTGGGGGTAATTGTTTTACGACACACTGACCTAAGATGCGGGCGTGCGACAGAGATGGCTAGATATTATCACTCACTCTTCCGTGGAGCCATTTTAAACATTAATTGCTACATGAATTTACAACTAATTTATATGCTGTTTTTAAATAAAAGTATCTTTTAATGCAAAATAATGATCAAAATCAAACGCAGGAGCCAT